CGCCGGCCCGGCCCCGCTGCCGCCGGCGCGGCCTCACCCGGATGTGGATCCGGCCGCCCCCCCGCTCCTCGCGGCCAGGGTCACCTTGATGCCGCCCGGCTGAATTGTCTGTCCCCAGGCTGGGTTCTCTCACCTTGTGTAAACGCAACTGATGGCGTCAGATAACTTCTACAATACGAGTTGCTTAACGAAGGAAACAACCTTGTGTTTGAAGAATTGCGTAAGATTGCATCACGGGATAAATATGCATTAGGTAGGCGGAGAGCGTGGATTAGAGAGGCGGGGTCCATGTGAGTTCGGCTTTATAAAAGATTGCAAATTATTATCACCTGAGCGTGGTTTGTGGAAAGCCCCACTGTGCGCCCTTTAGAGAACCGAACAGCATTTATTGTGTAACCTTTCTAGAGTGCTCTGTTTGTGTTTAGGCAGCTTCTAAAGCGGAGACCAGCCCCCGCAGCGCTGCTGCTCATCCCGGCTGGGCGCCGGCCGCCCCCGCCGCTCGCTGCTCCTGCCGGGGAGCTCTGGAATCACGGCTGGAGTCACCGCTGGCATCACGGCTGGCTGGCATCACCCCCGACCCTCCATGGAGCCTCTGCCCTTTGGTTCCCGGTCCGTGTTTGCTCGCCCAGCCCCACCGTAGGCTCGGTGCTTGGCGGAGCACCAGCGGTGCCTCTCTAGTGTCATCCCAGAATCGCAGGATCCCGAAGGTTGGAAGGGACCTCTGGAGATCATCCAGTCATCATCCTCTGCCAGGACAGGGTCGCGTAGAGCAGGTGGCACAGAGGTGGGTTTGGAATCTCTCCAGAGAGGGAGTATCCACACCCTCCCTGAGCAGCTGTTCAGTGCTCTGCCATCCTCAACGGGAAGAAGTCCTTTCTCATGTTAAAATGAAACTTCTTATGTTTTAGTTTATGGACTTTGCTCCTCATACTGTCAATGGGTACCACTGGAAAGAGTCTGTTCCCTGCTCTTGGCACTCCTTTGAGATACTTACCTGCATTAATGGGGTCCCCTCTCAGTCCTCTCTTCTCCAGAATAAACAGCCCCAGCTCCTGCAGTCTCTCCTCAGCAGAGACCTGCTCCACACTCATCACCTTTGTGGCCCTTCTCCAGTAGCTCCTTGTCTTTCTTGTACTGAGAAGCACGGAAATTAATCAGGAGCTGGCAGGACAGTGAGGATCATGCCACCCCTGGGCTGGGCAGGAGGAGATCAGCCTTTGTGCCATTCTATGAGAGGACGTGGCATAAAGAGGCCAAAGTACGGGCAAGGAGCTGAACTGTGAATTCATTGTGATGAACTGGGAAAACAACTGGTTAATTTCACTACCGAACCTCTTTTGTGAACAGAACTTTGTCAGTATCTAGTAGAAAGATACTTAATGAACAATAGATTAAAAGTCATAGAATGAAAAAGATGTAATATTATGCCACTGGAGCAGTACCTTGCAGCAGTTTCCTATTCCATACTAGGTGAAGATACATAAGACCACAGAATTACAGACTGATTTGGCTTGCAAAGCAGCTGAAAACTTCCAGGTCCACCCCTTCCATGGGCAGGGACACCTTTCTACTACCTCAGACTGCTCCAAGCACTGTCCAACCTGGCCTTGGACATTTCCAGGGACAGGGCAGCCACAGCTTCCTGAGTAACCTGTGCCAGGGCCTCACCAAAATATTATTAAAAATGAAGACATATTATGGTGTAGATTTTGTGTCCCATTATACCCGATTGCAGAGTTCCCGAAGATAGCTATAGGACATGATTTTTTTGAGCGGTAAATAGCATGCAACTTTATCAGTCTTCTAAGATATACCATGGGAAAAAAAAGCTTGTGCCTATGTGCTGAGCACTATAAAATTTGACATTTTGATAGAAGTTTCTGAAACATTCATACTCAGCAGATAAAAACAGCAATTAAGGGCTTGTTTTCTGTATTAGTTAATCTTCTTCTGCAGTGTTAGCCCAGCTAAAGACCATTACATCAGTCAGTCAGATAGTAGAATTTCTTCTTGTATGTACAGGGGAGAAGGACTCCCTAAAAACACCTTCTCAATATTCTATATTACTGTTGGTACATTCTATAGTTTTTATAAAGTTTTAGTCAGTAGTTATTTGGTTGGTTTCTGTAATGCTAAAAGTGAATGTTTAGAATCTCAGGACTTCTGGAGGTTCTTTCCAGGGTGGTGTTCAAACCTGCTCTGAGGTCTGGGGTGCCTGCTCCTGTTTTGTCAATAAATTGAAGATTTCACTTCTTTTTACTATCAAGATATTATTCTCTTTGTACAGAGTAATGTAAATTTGGATTACTGAAGGCAGTAATCCATAAGTATATTACATTCATCATCAATGTGTTCCTGTATTGCATCTCTGTAGCATGTTACTTTTCTGTTTTAGAATTTACTATACTGTTTTTTGCAGAAGGAATAAATATATTCTCAGCAAAAATCAGAAAAAAAATAGCTCCTACCAAGCCAAATTAGATAATTGCAATTTCACTCTGTCTTTAAAGCACAGCTGTGTCTTTTGGGTTGTGAAAATCAGTATTTAATACACATATCTTTACACTTTTCTTCTTATCTAAAGAAAAATGTCCCCTCAAAATGTAGACTCCTCTAATTAGCTTGTTTTCTCCATTTTGAAATTTAGTAGAATTAAATGTATTCCTTGTTACAAATTATTATTATTATTATTATTATTATATTAATAATTATAATAATATATAATATATATTATATAATATATATATTATATATATTATATATTATTATATATATATATAATATATATTATATATATTATAATATATAATTATAATAATTAATAATAATAATAATAATAACAACAACAACAACAATAATAATAATTTTTCTGAGTTTCATTAATCTTTTATAATGGCCAGTATCAGATTTCTCTTTTTTTTCATGTCAGAATTTGTTAGATGAGCAAAATGAAAGCACTATTGTTTTGATTTTCCCTGAATTGACTGAATTAGTTTTGTATCTTCTATTCTTAATTTATATACCAGGAGCACAAGAGGAAAGTGTGCCTAGTATGCTAGAACTGTTCCAAAAAAAAAAAATCAAAAAATAAAGTTTTTTTTGTGTATGATTATATTTAGCTTGTCCAAAAATCCATTTCAACATCTCTTCCACGCAATTTAGATCTTTGTAACACAGGCCTCTTATCTCTGGTTGAGATTTTTTGTTTATTTGTTTATTGGGTTTTTTAAGGCTATAATTTTTGTATTTTTGAGGTTTTTTTAAGGCTATAATTTTTGTATTTTTGGGAGTTTTTGTTGGTATAATTTGTATTTTTGGTTTCCTTGGGGTCTGATGTGGTTTTGTTTTGATAATAGTCTTCCTCTCTTCCCTACTGATTTGCCACACTGTAGTCCTTGAAACAAGCTGCTCTTGGTCAATCTAACTTCAATTTTTTCTTCATCTGACCTGTCTCAAGGCACCCATAAACTCACTTTGAAAATCTCACTGGATAATGCTCCTTATATTTTAGGAGTATTTTTTGTTGTAGCATGCCCTGAGGAAATAGAACCAAAATTTTATTACTGTCCTGCACTGCATTTCACTGAATACCCCAGTTTGGTCAGACTGTCAGTATAAATTGTTGGCATTTTTTTCCCAAAGCAGTATTGATTCTTGACACTGTATTTTGGGAAACTGAAGAAGCAAAACAGAAACAAGAAAATTAATTTGTCTCAGCCTCAGACTCATTCCTTGAAGAGGACAATTTAATAAGTGCAAATTCAGCAAGTAGAGAAAAAAGCAAGAGGCAAAAACACATTGCAAATCATACACTGATTACAGCTTTTAGAAGGAGTCAGGAAGAAGAAGCTGTATGGGGGGCTTGTATTTTGGCTTAAGGTTGCATGTATAAATAGCAAAAGGTTGATAGTTTATATTTTTTAGCTGTACTCAGCTTTAAACTATGTTTCTCTCTAAAGCTTTGTGAAATATGAAAAAGACTTTTCGTATTACTGAAAAATAGAAGGTCCAGTATAATTGCACCCAAAATAGTTTGAACCAATCTATGATCAAAAACCATCTTAATATGGGCTGAATGTTATTGTTTTGTCTCCTAGAGAGCAAAGTTTATAGAGATTCCTGTCAGTTCTGGAACATTTTTTTTTTAATTCATTGAGCCTTACATGGTAACACTGGGTGGTTATAAATAGGTGGGTGATACCCCCCCCCCTCCTTCATTTAAGCATTTTTTGAGCATTATGAATCCAGTCATATTTGTGGGTCTTCCAAAGGAAACAATGTTTGTAATGCTGTTGGACTGGAGGCTTTTTTAAATCCTAGTAGAGAAATAAGCAAAACCGCTAAACAAGCATGATTTTTAAAGTAGATATGGATTGATTTACCACTCTTAAATTAACCTACAGTGCTGACTTCCATACTGAAGGAAGTTGGTGATAGAATACAACAAAATGAAATATTTACTTTTCTTACCCTGAAGCAGGTGGAGACAATGGGGCGTAGGACAGTGAGATTCTTTGTATGAAAGGTAACCTTTTTTATTTTTCTTTTAGATACAGCCAAGCCTTAGGGAATCTAAAGTCTTTTTTATCCACTGTTTAGTGATCAGCAGGGAAGAATGGACCAAATTCATCTATTTGCCAAACTACCATTTCCACAAGAACCAACATTCTCTCTCATTCTTGTGGTCACTAGTAGAAGCAATGTCCAGTCAGCTTGAAAGGGCAGGAGAAGAAAATGTTGTATTAACTATGCAGGTAGCCATCATGTATAGGATAATTTAGTCTGTTTTAACTTAAACCTCTGATTTTTACCCTCCTGAGGTACTCACCTGCTTCAGACCTCACAATTGGCAATAAAGCAAGAAGTGTATTTGTTGCTAGACCACAATCCAGCTTAGCAAAATTCTGCCACCCTTTTCTACTTGCTAAAAAACCCACAGTCAAGGCATAGTTGCTTGTCTTTTAGGGTTTTAGAGAAAAAAACATAGTATAGAAATTACTGTCATTTTCTTTCAAGAAGATTTACTAAAAGTAGACAGCTAAAGCTCTTGCTGTAAAACAAAAGCCACTATAGAGTAACATTTCTTCTCTACCATTTCTTCTCTTAGACAGTAGCAGAACCCAGAGGCCACATTCTAAAATGTTGGGTTTTGTTGTTTTGTTTTGTTGGTTTTTTTTTTTCTCCACCATTTATACAATCTGTTTATTGGCAGAAATGCCAAGGTTTCTGCAGCTTCACCAAGAATCATTCTGG